GTCAATCCATCAGTGATGCTGGAAGGTAAACAAAAACGCTCAGTACTTGAATGGGATGTTGTTTTCGGGTTTGAGTCATAGCGGTTCGAATTGTTCTCGCGAGGTTGTCGCAGGTCCGGTATTGCGCTCCATTTAATAACGCCAAAAGCGAGTATGTCAGCTCATGGAATAAACCAAATGAATGATGGCCTGCCACAAGCGTTTTCTCAGCAGAGAGTTGAGTTTTTTAAGAGCCCCATCTGCCAAGCGGTCTAACACACTTCATGGTTACGTGTATTTCTTCAGGAACATCGTGTTTGACTTCGGACTGACTGTTGGACCCAAGTGTTTGTAAGTTTCATGGGGTTCCCATGAAGCGTAAAGTCTTGGTTGCATTATCAGGTTTCAAAATTTATAACTTTGCATGATGGACCGCCGCAATGATATTCACTCTCCTGCCACTTATCCCAACCGAATTTCATCTTTATATGTCGTTCAGTGAAACGTCTCCGTCAACGTTTATTAGTTCCCCGCATTATGACTCCTCAGTGTCTGCATAGAAGCTTCAGCCGTCATCCATGTAAAGGAAGATGTGAGGACCACGAAGAACGAGTTGAGTTCCCCTTTTAAGGAGCGATTCCATAATTAGATGAATCTAAATAGAGTAGACGAGGCGGATTCAAGGCTAAACAGAACCAATAACGGGGCTTAAAAGTCACCTGGAAAATCCCTCGGCGGCATGTACAGTAGTATCTGTGTGGACGGATTTGTTTTCCATTGGAAGATACAGTTTCTGTATTCCATCGACTCACGCCAGTTTCAGCGAGTTTGCATGAAACGGGTGGCACCTGGCTATACATCAAACCATTGAAGGGCAGCCCAGAAGGGGCACCCGGTGTCGAATGGCTTACAGCGTACCATCTAAAATGTAGCCAATGCGTAAACAATGTTCTCTTGTTTTCAAGCCACTTGCCCCATAATTACAGAGTCTATAATGCGTTGCTCCTTGGCATCCCTGAGATCCAGGTCTACATCCCCTTCTGTTCATTTGCGTAAGATGCTCATTCCTCAATGTGTGTCATCCATCATTATGCCGAAACCAAGATGTTATGGAGTTTGTAGAAAGTTTGAAGGCAGGTATATAGGCCTGTACTTCGAGCGTCTTTAGTGGTCACCCCCTCCTTTGGCTAAACAACAAATGTTTCTACCTTCCAGTTGAGGAGGAGGTAGATTTTCTTGGAGTCGGTTGAAGAAAATATGAATCTATATTAGCTATATGCATGGTGGAGTGCTGGCCGTAAATTTTTGCCAGCCAATAATTGTGAGGCCATCACTGCCTGTGCCTTCCAGTTTGTGCTTTTCCTCAAAGCTGTTTGGACAATCTTCCACCGGTGATGATTGGTTCACACATTTAGAGCGTGATATCTCGGTGCTCTGTCATATCCATTTCAAATCCATCCGTCTATTTCTGGTTGTGGGCACACAGCAGATGACCAGATAGGCTTCCAAAATCCCTCTATTGTGCCTTTTGAGGACAGGGCTTTGACCTTCCGCATATCAGTTTACAAGCCCTTTGCTCCTTTGACATATTCCGTATAGAATGCTTTCCTGCGTCCTGTAAAAGAGAATTCTGTTCTTCTTCCTCGCCTATAGTGCAATTCCTGCTAGCCGTGAAGGCGTTTTTTAACGCCAAAAACTTTTCTTTCGTAGGGTGTCAAAGATGTTTCTGTTATTGTGAATTTCCCAAGGGCTCGTCGCTTCGTATGAATTTTTGTATGTATGAGATGTTATGCACCTTTCTTCTCAAATTTTTCTGAGATATTTGCCATTTTTAAATTGTGGTGGGAGCTCTCACCATATCTCTCTAGTGCCTTTCTATACCCGTGTCACCAGCCCCGTGCTTCCCCAATGGTCATTATTCTTATTATTATTATTATTATTATTATTATAAATAATGAAGAACTTTGCGATAATGTTTCACGAAATATATTTTTGATTTCTATCCGAGTCGGCTTTCATTAAATAATAATTATTGTAAAATTACTAGTAAATCGATAAATCGTCATAACTTCGCTCCACATCTTCAGTACTACAGTTTTGTTCCTAAAGCAAAGTGAACAGAATCGCCTTTAGGCGACACCTTTTGTTCGCCCTCTCGTGTGTCTGCGCAGCGCGGAAAGATTCAGGCGCGTGAGCCCCGTACCTGCTCGTCTAAAATCGTGAATGAGAAAAACCCAGGAACAGGGAAGTTGACGCAGCTTTTGACCTGACGCTCACCTTCTCCTCTGCTGTCTCGACGTGCGAACCACGGGTGTCTTGAAAGCAGACAAAAGACACGCGGTTGCGAAACGGCCAAAAAAAGAACAGACGCTCCCAGACATGACCCGCAAGTTAAAATAAAGATCCGGTATTTCAAATAGGTTGGCATTATTTGCCCAATTAGGTAGAAACACAGTTTGTGGTTTTTAAATGTTATAATTCATTCTACTCGCAGAAAAAAAAATTGGAGCTTATGTGCTCATTGTCTCTAACTTCAGCAAATTTCGCTATTCTAAAATAATCTTGTTTGCTTGTTAGTTATTTAAGGTCACATCAACTTCTAGGTCATTGGCGACCACTATTGCATGTAACGGTGTGGTAACTGTAAAGATGATATGATATGATATGATGATGATGATAGGGGGTGAAAGGACGAACACAATACAACCATGCCCGAGGCGGGACTCGAACCCGTGATTCTTCGGTCAGAGTTCGCTACGGCATTACTACCTTAACGATCTTGGTCATCCGGACCGGCAAAATAAGCTTTTTAAGCAAAATAATCATGTTTTTTCTGGTGAAACTTTGTTACCACGTAAAAATACGACATATTGTACCTGTAGTGAGGCAATTGGCAAAGAAAATGACTTTGTATGTACTACACAACGGCACCTTGTGGATGACGAAATTCCATCGCAATCGTCTATAAGGTGAAAATGATTAGGGAATAAAATATTTAAGCTATCAACTGCTGCACGGGCTTAAGAGGTTTATTTATGTTTGAAGGGTATCCTGACGCGGTTCTATTTTTTTCTAAAATCTTCAGGAACCCTGCCTTCGATATTTTTTTATTTAGTTACAAATTGAGCATTGCCCAATTCATAAAAAATAATTTTGTTAGAATAATGACTCGTTCTAGACCGATGTTATTAATACTCAATTTACAAAAGCTAAGCATAAAAAAGTATCTCTCAAATTATCTCACACGCGCCACTTGAATTGCAAAACAGTATGATATCAATAACACCGAAGTTCATTGCGCGCGTTTGATCCACCGGAACCTCTCAACACGAATTAAACAGTTGTGAGCAGGGAACCGGTGTGTCAGAATGTGGAAAATATTGTGACGATTTTTAAAGGAAACGATCTTAGTAGAACGTAAATATGACGTTGATCGATCTATAAGTTTTTATTATTTTCTATTTTCTGAAGCAATATATTTTAAAACCCACATCTGCTTGCTTTCTACATTTGTATTGCAAATTAATGTATTTGTTTTTTGACTGTGAGGAAGACTGTGAGCTGGTTGAATATAAGACTTTTATGCGAGGTATAGTTGTTCTCGTTAAGGGTGAAAGTACGAGTAGTGACCGTTGTAAATAATATTTTTGTAGTTTTATTAAAATTCTTGGGATTTAGTACTATATTCATGATCTGAAACTTAATGGACGAGATCTTAACTAAAAAATTGAACAAATTAAAAATTACAATTTTTAATTTGTTCATTTTTTTAGTAATTTCTTGCCAAACTCAAACATTAATCCACTAGTATCCATTTGAAAAATTCAACATTGTAGTGGTCACACACGACTCGGTAATGATCAATCAATGTTCTACGTCCTGAACGTGTTTGAGATACTTGGAAGTCGAAAAAGTATATTTTGATGTCAATATAAATGTATCTCAGTTATCGTAGATTTATTCCTCGCCACCTGGAGACACAAGCTGCTCGTTACGCAAGTTTGAAGGAAATAGGAAGTCTCTAATTCTGTTTTTTCCTGTTTTATGATTGAAATGTATGCTGCTGAGATAGTGGCCACAAGTAGTGTCTTTATCCTAACAATTGTTCAGAGATGCCAATCAAAATACGTTTTAATGCATATGTGAATGCAATTGATCCAAAAAACGAAATTCTTTCCGCTGTTGTCTTATGTGCGGGAACCGTTGAGGATTACTAATTCCTATGCCCGAAGGGCGTGACGTCACAGGTAATCGTTAAGGCTTGGAATGTGGGAGGCTGCGTGGCCTTACCGCCGTCAGCTGCTCCAGGGCGACTGGAGAGGTCGACGCCCGAGGTCCTCGCCGCGAAACGTCTCTTTCATTCACACTCAGTAGACACAGAGAAAGGGGAAACGAACAGAAAGACATGGAAAGCAAACAGCCCAAAGCGGAAAGAGATGGAACCGTTTCTGGGCGCAAGGGCAGGGAGGAAATTCTGTAAATGGCTGTGGGGATATGTCGAGTCGTTGAAGATTTGAAGTAGGAAGTGTATTCGAATGCATTTCAGAGATACATGCGGTTTGTGTACAATAAGATGCCCATAATAGCAGGCGTAGCATTTCATGCACCAAAAAAACTGTTATTTATTATGAGTTAACTGACTTTTCCGGATTATTGGAGACATAAGATTTAATTCAGAGAAAAATCCTGCTCTTTCATACTGTCAGTGAATTGACATATCTAAGAGAATGAGATTAAAAAAAATAGTGATACAAGCTTAACAATCAATTTATTATTGTTACCTATTCATCTTCATATTTCTGATTAATACCACCGTTTTCCTCCTGATTTCGAATACATTAATCAAAATCATTACGCAAACATCACTACTGCTGGATAAAATAATGATTAGTTGCGATAGAATAAAATTTTTGCTCATAAATGTTGTTCACTTCTAGGATATTTAATAAAAATTGAATCGTGGTGTATATTTCAATTTAATGTTTTGTTTATGGAACATTACACATGCTGCATACTTGGGTAATAAATTCATTCAAGCTAACAAAATGGGTATACGGATATTGTATTACAATGATTGTATGATGGAACCTAAAAATAAAATACAAGCTATGAAATTAAAATTTTTTATTCAATGCAATATTCAACGAAGATATTTTAGAAGCGCGTATTTTCTTTTTTGTTAAAAATGTTTGCATAGATTTTGATTTCCTATTGTTTACTGGTGCATTTTTCCTAATGAACAGTTTCGCAAGTGTAAATATTTATTACTGGGTAGTGATGGGAGTGTTTAAGGTAGGCACAAAGTCACGTCCATTGTAAGAAAACGTATTTTGTAATGAAAACGTAAGCTTTTGTGACCGGAGGCAATAGACCCTTGGATGGCTCGAAGGCGCTGCGACCTAGGCGCAGTTGCCAACGTTTCGGCCATCATCCTGCGGCCTTCGTCAGGGCGAAATGCGCGTAAGTGGACGGTGCATGGGTTTGGATAGGGAGACTACTCTACCCCCATCCACCCCAACCCTCGCCCCATTGCTCGATCTTCCGACCAACAGGTGAGAGGGACCTCACCCTACGTAAACCGTACGCAGTTTTGTGTGCATTTCACCCTGACAGTCGAGGACATCCAAGGGCTTCTTGGATAAGTTTGTGTAGGGGCTAGAGCGAGGGTCGTTGAAGGGGGAGCGGTTCCATCATGCGACGAAAGCGCTTCCTCGGCCGAGACTCACCTCCCTGGTCGTCGAGGGCTACCAGCGTCCGGATGCCCGCCTCCTTGCTCTGCAGCACCACAAACAGAGGACAGTCACACACGGGCAGTAATCCCTGTAGGCTCAAAGGGGTGGGTGGGGGGCGGGAACCTAGACCCTTTGGGGACGGAGCGGGAGGGGCGGTGGCGGTGGGCGGAAGGATCGCTATTGCGTCGTAGCCCCATTGGATCAGCAGGGCAGAGAAGGGGCGGAGACCACAGGGCCATTAATCCATCGTAGGCCCTTTGGATACGCAGGGCGGAGCAGGGAGAGGATGGGAAGGACGGGGGATGAATGGCCATTAGTGCGTTGCAGGCCCTTTGGATCTGCAGGGCGGGGCAGCGTCGAGGCTGAGAGGTGTGAAGGCCTAAATGTTTTAATCCGTTGCAGACCCTCCGGGGGCGGGGTAGGGACGGGACCGGTAAGGAAAGGGGCGGGGCGATCATCAATCCACCTCAGAGCCTTTGGGCTCGCGAGGCGGCGCGGGGGCGGGGTAGACTCGAGGCAGCTAGTGGCGAGGGCCGAAGGGGCCATTACTCTGAAGCAGGGCTGCAGGGGCGAAGGGGGTTATTAATCCGTCGCCCACACTTTGGAAGCGGAGTGGGGCTGGGCGATGGGGGTGGGTGCGAGCCCCAGGGGGGGGGCGTGCCCCGTGCGTCGAAGCGGCTGCCTCCGCTGGGCCGGCTCCTTCCAAACTTTTCCAATCCCATTACGCCCGCCCCTCGGGCCCCGATGAAGGCCACCTCTTTCCATTCACTAACCCGACTTCTCCAGTTTTCACAAAGACACTCCGAAAAGCTTGGAACTGCCCAACAAAACTTACTCGGTTTGTGGTAACATACTTTCATATTTTCAGGACAATTTACCCAGTTACCATTAAAGGAAGTTTCAGGATCCCTTATATTGACGTACATAACGGGTTTGATTCTACGAGTATAATTTAATGCTAATTAAATTTAATATTTGTTGCGAATTTCAAGGCAATAAACGTCTTGAAAGTTTGATGCCAGCAAGACTGAGAGCAATCCAATCGGAAGTCACGTTTGCCGAGAATGCTAATAGGAAGAGTGTAAGCCTATTCTGCATTGAGAATTCACAATACGGAAGTGAGAGAATATTTTTTAATTATAATACAAATATTTTGCTACGACGAAATAATATTACTAAATCACGAAAAATTATGCAAAAGTAATACCATATCCTCTTGTGTAAAATGGAGAGAACCTGACATAACGTTCATTAGCTGATTTGATGTGTTCAGTTGGGATCGGATTTAATAATTGTTTTCCTTCAGCCACAAAGTAGGCTCACTTGATATGTGTTATAAAACATCGGATTTTCAATAATTTAAAAAGGATTCAATGGTGCATACAATGCCCATTTGATCTGATTCCTTAATAACCATAACAAAAATAACAAGGTACTGCCCTTTTCAGGGTACAATGATTTATGTACATTAACGGGCGTATTTTAGTGCATATTTTTGACGTTTTTACAGCTTAAATGCCATATTTAATGTTTTATTAGAGTTTATGAATCCAGTCGCTAGAGATCAATAGAGAACGAAATTTATTGTAATAAAAAAGCCAAATATATTCATGTGTATCTATTTTCCCCCAAAAATATGCAAGAAAAAGTATATAATTCAGGTAAATTAAAAAGTAATTGTAGTGTAAACTGAGTAAAATATTAACGAACACAATTATCTTGTTCCTGTAAAAACATGCAAGTACAGGACAATCCGTTCAGTAGTGCCGTTAGTTACGGAGGAGTCCACCCCTTCCGCGATGACGAGGGGGAAGGTTGAAGTGCCCTGGGGGGGGGGGCAACGGAAGGGAGGAACTCGAGGTCATCACACATCGACACACTACGTGCACAGCTGAGCCGGCGCAAAACCTACACGCACCCTAACACACATACGAACACACACACACAGACACAAAAACGCAACGAAAAGATAGTAGTCACGGGTGCAGCCACTAGATGGAGAAGAAGTGGAGGAAAGGATAGCCTTTTCAATACCTACAAACACAGAAACAGAGATAGAGAGAAAAAGAGTTTATTTAGCATTCACTACAGTGAAACAACCACAAAAAGATAAAAGAACTCGTTTTAATACAGATACACCAGAACTCGGCAGTATAAATTTACTGTTTTTGAAAGCCCGTAACAATTAGAGTAGATGAAATGAAATACGCAGAAACACAGCAAATTCATTTTCTCTCTGCCTAGTTTGTTATTCTTTTGTTAAAGTTTTAGGCTTCTTTCCCTTATCGTGTCCCGCGCCTATGAATCGGCTCAATTCGACACAATATGATGAAAAACATCCACTGGGGGGAATGGCGTAGTATTTATTCCTTGAAGCTTTCAAAGCGGAGTTGGCGCTTCGCTGGGCGAGTGCAATTTCATGACGAGAGTATGCCCCAAACGATTGAAATGAAATATCTTTGTATCTATGCAGTGCATAATTCCTAACGCATTTTATTTTAAACTACTTTCTTGTAAAATATTTTCCAATCGCTACGCGTGTTGATGTTAATGACGTCGCTCCGACCTTCGAGAATTGCAATTAACATCTAACAACCTTAACCTATTCAACGTACATTTTCCATTGCTTTTTATGCCAAAATATTTTTTTTGCCGAACAGTTTGCTAGGAACAAGAAAAACATGGGAAGCGAATTCGCAATTTATTAAAAAATAACGTACAATTGTGGAGGCATCGATTGAGCAATTACTTGTCAAATATCTTGAAAATAATTCTTTTGCAGTTTCATGAAACTACGCACAGCACAAAAATTATCACATTTTTGAACTTTTAAACACAATGCCCCCATACTCATGAGTTCCTGCCTCTCGTTCTTGGCTGTCGTTCATCAACCTCGCAATGTCGGGAGCCTATTCGTGAACGAAGATACAATAAGGGATAAGACACCAATTTGCAATACATGCTTTAAATAGTAAATATGTAATGTAAATGGTTGATATTGTTCGACAACAGAGTGATGGAGAAAGGGGTGCGGTTGAGGCGGTCCTTTTATCGTGTCATGGCTGTTTCTCCCAAGTTTTTGAGAGCAACGTGTGGGTGAGGGGGCGTTGATGAGCCCCTTCCCGGTCCCCTTCCTGGCCTGCGCAACTACCATGGCGTGCAGCTACAGCCACTACCCTTACCTTCGGCGGCGGGTGGGGGGCGTGTGCCGGACTCGTCGATTCGCGACGGAATCAACGAATGCGGTACCAGTCACAATAAAACGAACACGCAAAAGCTCGATGACGTTTTACTGCAAGGAGCCGCCCACATTGGAAAACGTAACCGTGAACATAAACAAGACGCAATCGCGATTGCTGTCACGTTCACATTAAAGTGATCTGTCAACAACCCGTTATGACGTACCGCAACACTATCCAACGAATGAGCGTTTTCGTTAGAAACCAACGCTGTTAGGCGGCTTATGAATAACCATCATAATTGTTCAAGGAACACTCTATAGAATCATTCATGTACAAAATTATCCTGAACCAAGCATGAGCGTGTCCACTTTACCTCATGTTGTTAAACTGTGTGTAGAATTTCTGTGCTGAGCATTTATTGTATCGTTATCGATTAGTGGCTACATTCATGTTTATATTCACGGTCATTATAAATGATACGTCCCATGTTCATGTTAAAAGAACATGTTTAAGTCGTCATATCTGCGTATATGTTTCTATTACGCTATTTTGGTGGGGGGAGAGGCCGCACTTAACGCAGATTTGCCAATATTGCGGCCGAGTCGCCACCTTCCTTCGTCTTGAAACACGTTGCTAGGAGCTGATACGTTGGCACCATTGCCTGTGAGACGCCGTGATCTAGGAGGTGCTAGGTATCGTCTTACACGTTCTGACCTTCATTCGTCCTGAAAAGGTCGGAGAATGAAGGCCGAAACATTGGTAATACTGCCTAGGATGCGGCGAACACTCACGACTCCAAATATTCTTGTTGATTTCCGAACGCTTTTAACTTGAAAATCAAAAAAAGTTATCTTTTTTCAACCAAGCGTACTTACTAATTTTGATATTTATTCACAAATGTCTTACCTTTCTTGATATTCTAAATATGGTAACTTTAATAAAAAATACTTTTGCACAGTTACAATGAATTTATGCCAAATGTTTCTAAAAAAAGGGGGCCGTTTTATTCGCGACTCGTGAATGACTAGGAATACCGGATGATTCAAATGTATAAAGAAATATTCAGCCTTCAGGATAAAATTAAATAAGTGTGTAATATTTGTATTGCGGCACAATTTACACTAATATTTATTGTATGTACTGTGAATTTTGTGGTTAATTTTATGCTTTTAGAGATTGTTCAGCCGCGATATTTACATATTTTCATTTCAAATAATATAAATTGTTTTAATTTTTTGCATTTAGAACCAATTAAAAATTGTTTACATTCAATAACTTTCTTCGAATTCAAAATTTATTGTACATTGTAATTAAAATAATTTTGACCAACTGGAAAGCTGCATCCTACGATTATTTTGTGTCCACAAATTACCGTATTATAGGTTAATGCACTTGTCCTCGAACAAGACGTATTTAACAAACTAATTTCAGATTCTTCCGTGCTTTTGTAGGGACGTCATCAGATCAATGATCGCTTTGAAAGCAAAGCAGATTTGTGATCGGCGAAACGTGTCGTACGAGAGAAAGAAGTAAAGAAAGAAAAAAGAAGAAAGAAAGAAAAAGAAAATTAGAGAAAGGGTGAAACATTAAAGGGTAATTCAGAGCAAGGAAGATAAAGAAAGAGGGTGGGAAGAAAGTTGCAAAAGACATGAGGAAAACGAAAGAGAAAAAGAGAAAAATATAAAGAGGGAGGTACAGTCAAGGGAAAAGAGACAATAAGAAAGAGGAAGAAGAAAAGATACATAAGTGAAAGGGAGAGATAGAGATGGAGAAAAAGAGACGGAGAGAAAATGATGAGACGGGGAGAAAAAGATGAGACGGGGAGAAATAGATGAGACGGAGAGAAATAGATGAGACGGAGAGAAATAGATGAACGGACGAGAAGAAAGGAAAATAGATGAACGGAGGATAAGCGGAAAAATAGATGAAACGGAGAGAATAGATCGGAGAAAAGAGACCGGAAAGAGAATAGAATGAAGACGGAGGAAATAGATGAACGGAGAGAATAATGAGACGAGAGAAGAAGTAGACGAAGAAGAATGAACGAGAGAAGAGATGAGACGGAGAGAAAGAGATTGAGACGGAGAGAAATGAGATGAACGGAGAGAAAGAAGATAACGGAGAGAAAGAGATGAGACGGAGAGAAAGATGGAGACGGAGATATCGAAGAAGATAAGAGACGGAGAAAGCGATGAGAGGAGAGAAAGAGATGAGACGGAGAGAAAGAGATGAGACGGAGAGAAAGAGGGGGGGGATTGCGTCACAGGCGTTCCAGTGCGGGGGCCGCAAGGGAGGCCAACGTGACGTGGAGACGCCCCGCCCCGCCCGACGAATCTCGTTAAGCTCTTGAACTCGTTTCCCCTTCGTGCGGATTGCATTAGAAGAGAAGACGAGTTGAAGCGATCTGTGTGCCATTAGCATTGAGGGAGGCCTCTGCCGGTGGCGACTGTGCTCCGGCCACGAGCAGCTCTGCAAATCAATACTCCGCCGCCCGCGCGCTGGCCTCTTAATCTCGGCGAGATGCCTGAAACTAGAGACGGACCACAGCGACGGGCGGATGAAGCGAAGCGGCAATGGACCGGCGAAGCGACACGTGGAGGCGGCGCCATTGTGCTTCCTGAGCGCACAAAGGGCTGCCGGTCGGGGGGGGGGGGGGGAGGGGGGGGAGGCGGCAGGGCGAGCTGTCGGGCGAAGCGCGCCCCAAGGCCACTCTTCCTTCACGCGCGGGCGCAGAGGCGAAGGCGTGTGACAGAGGCGGGGAAAGGCGCGGTCGGAGACTGGGCAATGGCGGGGAAGAAACGGGGCAGTAGCGGAGCAAAGGCAGGGAGGAGCGGGGAAAGCGAAGATGTCTGGAACGGGGCAGAGGCGGGAGAGATCGTGGAAGAGGCGGGGGCGGGGGTGAGGAAAACAGAGTCAAAAATGGGCAGAGAGCAGGGCAGTGGCGGGGCAGAGGCGGGGAAGAGGCGGCTGAGGGCCTGTGGAGAGCCGCAATGGCCCTAGACTAGAACAAGTTGGCCGCCAAGCACAAGTATCGTGCGCAGGTGAAGTGGCGGCGGACTGCACAAGAGCGCGCAAACGAACCGCTTGAGAGGCGCGCTAATGTCAAGACAGTGGAAGAGGAAGCTCAAAAGCCGAAACATGCCCGCTACACCCCTGTTTTCAACGTTACACTCAAATTAAAACTATTAGGCAAGATTGAATCATTTTATTTTTGTTACTTTACAAGCGGCTTTCCTTGCGAAACTTACTTTATTTAGTCAACAAACGAGCGCGATTTCTGATGTGATGATTTGATAAACATGAAATTTACTTGAAATATGAAATATTTTTTTAGAAGTCTGTTAGGTATCAAATACAAACATACATTTTTTAGCAGGTTTCTCAAGTGGGCGGCCCAGTGTTTATCCATACCCCCCGTTGTAGCATGTTGCCTGTCACTGATTTATTGATTATTAGTGATTCTTGGCGCGTCAACTACAAATGACCCGTAAGTGTAGTGTATGGTTTTGCTTGGGAGGTGGCGGTGGTCCTCCCCCGCTGGATGGCGACCAGGTATCTCCACCAGCGGGGGGCAGCTTCGGCCGGGGCAAGCTCTTAACTTCCCGACCGGTGTCCCGGCACGTGTGGTAGTGTACTGCAAGTTGGTGTAACTGTGCGTAAGGGGGGAGGATAGGACAAGGAAGGGAAGGAAAGATCGCGCGCAGTCCGTGGTCCGTTTGTTAGGATACTGCTCCGGCATTTGCTTGGTGCCGACCGGAGAAACCACGGAAAACTACCGATCAGAGCAGTCGGTCACTAGAATTCTCCTCCAGACAGTGACTGAATGCGACCTAGCAGTGTAGCTAGTGTCGAAAACCCTGCCACCTTTGGGGTGGATCACGGGACCTCCCGGTCAGAGGAACTGTAGTGGCATCAGTTGAAGCCCTGCGCCACCTCTCCCGTTTTGCTGGTCGCGAGGGGGAGTGGGAAGGTGACGGGGCCCTGGTGGAATGAATGGGGGCCACTGCAGGGCCTGGCCCCGGTTCTTTCCTTTGCGCAGCGACGGCGCGTGGATACTCACCTCTTCACATAGCGACAGCATGCGCCGCGTGCTCTCCAGCGACTGAAACACACACACACACATTAAGTCGTTCATTATTTTCTATTTTCGGGTGCGTCATCTGCTAGTGATGTAGCAGAGAGGTGCCAGTATTCCTCTCCTGCTCGTACGTGAGATCTGGCAACACATCGGGGTTTCTCCGTATAGATAGTTTCACCTCTGTCCTAGCCAGGCTAAGCTCTAAATGGGCCTGTTAAACTCGTCCGACACACCGCACAAAACCAATTAAAAATTTGAACAAGATAGCTCAGTGCATTAATACGAGCAATTTGTATATCACAATGGTATTCTATTACTATTTTTAGTAGACGTTACACATGTCTGTTTGAATATAACAAGAGACCAAATAAATTAATACAAAGTATTGAACTAATAACAATAGAAAATATTCATGAGAAGGGATCTGGTAATAGTTTACATAAGGAGATATCTGTGTTTATTGAAAGTTTACTATCTGCATTTATCAGCGGTCTCAACTGGGGTATTTTGGTTTTGGCTTGTTGAACTTTGATTTCTATGTGAGTATTTTAGCTCCAAGTACTAGGTCGTCACAATATCGAGGTCAAGGTATTTAACAGTCGTATACCAATGCTTTTCAGGAACACAAGAAATCCCAACCGATAGGATTGCCGTCGAAAAAAACTATCTCACATGATTTATACAATACATTACAGCCATTTTTTGAAGGTTTGTGAAGGACAATGTTTCAGTCTTTGAGGTACGCAAAGTCATTTTGATCATTTTATGGACTTGCAGTATGATCCGCAAGAACACAAAAGGACGCTTCATTTTATAACTGACTGCGCGCAGCAAGAAGGAAGTTATGATGGCGTATCTAGTAGTAGATCAGAAGATAAGTATTACCACCTACCGGCTGACTGATCATGTTAATATTCTTATATTATGAGTTGTGTATATTATGTGGACGTATTCGTCTTAGCAGTGTGAATGTCTTGTCGGTTCTTTTACAGTGGGTGTCAGTGTGGGTTCTTTTTCACATGAGTTCAGTTTCACTTTTGACCCCATACGTTTTTGTCTAAAAAGATTTAAAAAATGTCCTTAGGTAACTTTTCTCTGATTGTAAAACTATTATCTACATGGGTAGTAGAATAAGAATGCAAGTGGTTATGAGCAGAGAACGACGGTATTTACACGAAGAAATTTATTTTGGGGACGGTTTCAAATTGTTTGGCAAACATTTGGTAAGCGTTGAAAGGCGATACTATCACTCAGCGTTACGAAAGTTATTAATAATAAAACTAAATGAAGATACAACAGTAACTCCTTACCTAAACAAAGATGGATGATAAAATACTTCGCTAGGGTCGTCGCTGTCCCCACTTCCCTCACACTGGTATACAACTGTTATCTACATTGTTACGTGGAGTCCATGAAATTCTGATATATGAAGGGAGTGGGGAAGTGTCTGCGCCACTGAGTGTGGCAAAGGAGGAATTCGTGCGTCACCACTGTAGGCGTCGACGGCCTCAAGGGCGTCATGTGAATACTCAGCTCAGTGGCGTCCGAGTGGTCTCGTGACAACACTGCCATCTATTTTGCGATTAAAACAAAGGTCAAGTTGACGCTCGATGAGGTGGGACGTAGTTATTCTATCGGGAGCTTCACTAACACGAAGTCTAACGAAGCTCCCTATTGAATACGTGAGCCCCAGTTGATCGCTTTCAACTCGCCTCTGCTTTAATAGTATTATAGAACTGTGTTCTGCTGGCGGTGGCGTGGGAGTGCGCCACTGTGCCACTCGTTGCATTCGTCCGATTCACTTCGGCCACTTCTCTCGGAGCCACTCGGAAGCGCTCCGTGTGCAGCGGCCCTGTCTGCCACAGCAGCCTCACCGTATCGCTCGTGCTTGAGCGGATGTTTGCCAGCAGAAGCGCTGCTGAGTGGCTTCGTGTAACGTGGACTAATTCGATACACTGCACCGCTCGAGCGAATCCCTCCGTTCGCACGGGTGGTGTCGCCTACCTCGTCGGTGACTTGTCCGGCCTTGAACTGCAGCTCCTGCAGCTCCGTGCGCGGCGCGCCGCCGCCCGCGGCCGGTGGCGCCGCCTCTGCCGGCGCTTCGCTCTTGCTCGGCATGGCTCACGCCTGGCGACACGCGCTGGAAGAGCGAGGACATTACTACTTACATTTTACAGTTGTGTAGTGCTCATGCCACGCTTCCACACCCCATTTATTAGTCAACAGGCAATGGTTAAGTCAGCGATCCTAAAAATTAACCTTACTTAGAAACAGATAATAATGGTAATAATAATAATAATAATAATAATAATAATAATAATAATAATAATAATAATAATAATGGGTGGAAAATCCTTGATTCTGACAAATTCACTCTGATGTGTGGCACAAATATCCAAGAACTTGGGCAAGAGAACGCCTATTCACATTTACGCCTCCATCAACATTAGAACGCCATTGAAGCAAAGATAGATGAGTGATATTCAGAAAACAAATCTTGCGAAAAGTCGCAAAAATTTGAACAACTCTTTTAATTGCAAAGAACCTTATACTAGTCAACAACACTTGGGAAATATCCGTAGCTTTATTTAGTATTCTTCACTGGACAGCAACTGCAATGCAGGAACTTAATCGAAACGTTAAGCTAACTCTTATCATGTATCGCATGCACCATCCTAAGTTTCAGTGGCAAGACTATATTTACTCCGGAACGATACGGGCAGAGGCCTTCTAGATTTTGAGACCTAGTGCGCGAAACAAATCAACAATCTTTGCAAATACCTCCTTCAAAAACTGACGGTTGTGCATTAAACAATTTGTGCCATGGACATGAATTTTACCTAAAATCAAATGGAAAAGAATCTAAACCGTGCCGTTTTGAGAGACCCAGTATTACCAAAGAGAGGCTGAGTGAGTGAGTGAGTGGAACGGCTGGTTTCCTGCTAAGATCAAAGGGAAAGCTGTGAACGTGACCTCTTTGCTGAGACTGAAGGCTTCATCATTTTCATTTAGGGCGAATTAACCTACACTCCTAATTACTAAAGATATGTGATTATATATGGGGATATGAGTGTAGACGACAGCTACCGCCTTTTCATTCGACTGAGTGAAACCATGCGCTGGTACGCTGCTTTGCGATAAACAGGATACACGAGCCGGCACAAAGACATTGTTACGGCCAACCGTCAGGCCCTGGCTTCAAAGTCAGAGGTGGTATCAAAAGAGATCACATACTCCCAAGTTGAAGCCGGATTAAGTTTTGGGAACGAAGCAGTGGATGTTCTTGTAGAATGTTGCAGACACCACAGATCGCAATGTCTAGGCCAACAGACCAGACATTATATGGGTCGACAAGATTTCATGGAAAGGGAGTATTATCGGCATAGCTATCTCTTTAGACCAAAATATAGCTATCTCCATTGCAATAACAAGTGATATCACATTTGAGGCCACTACCTTTCATATAGAGCAAAAATGACGAAACTTCGTAAAGAAGAAAACTCAAATTTCGTTCTAAACAAAATCTCGTAATATAATAAAAAAGAGAATTGGAGAATCTTCAAAATTATAGTTTTGAAATTAACAATATTTCCAATTTTAGAAATACAGAGAGTTCGCCGGAGAGTAAACGACCACCAATGTTTCACCGTCTTTGTTAGATACAAGGAGAAAATTTAAAACGTTCTTTTCGCCACCCGACAACAAAATGTAATAAAAAAAATTACATCCATAATTTTGAAAAATTTGTAATTGTCTCAAGAGGTTCATGTAAATTTGCCCCCAAAAATTAAATACGGTTTCAAATGAAAAGGACGCGACATCAGCCGGACCGATTGGGGAATATCAATTTTGGAGCAATCGGCTGAAAGGTTTAGGGGATCACAGACGGGCAGTTATACGTTTTGCCGTCAATCGATCTTTCGATATCAAAGACTCACAAAACATGGATTCTTACAACACAATTTGCCCGAGAAGGTTATTTTGTATTTATAGGGACAACATTTATCCCTTTTTTGGTACCAAGGTCTTTCAATAAGAGTGTTGTGTCGACAATTCGCCGTTTGCCGTTACAATACTTTTTCTTCCACAAGGACAAGATAGTAAAAAGGAGCAGAATTAATTTGCGATGAATAAATAACATTCTTGTGATGCGTAGTTTGGGAATGAAATCTGTTACATTTTTTAATCAGTTTAACTATTACTCGCACTGAGTTCTTTTCATTAGCCTGAAAGGATCATTGTGTATTTTTTCAATGCATATACTGGTGTCTAAAACATATACTAGTGTGTAAGTGGCATTGTACTTTGCCTAAGTAGTTTTCTACCTGTTTCACACATGTTATGACACCTTCCACGAGATGGAACGCTAAATTAATGCGTAACATCTTAATTTCATAGCCCCAACATCTGACTTAGCATGCAAATTCTCGACACGCCAGCGACTGTTTTAATGTCAGTTTGTGTGCCTTTACAGATAAGCTTCTCTCCGCAAAGCTACTTATCCGAGTTGAAAACTTCGTTGAAAGTATGTCGCTTTTCAAACGTCCATGACCAATTTTCAGAAACTTAACAGTGGAAATTGACCTTTCAATTCTATTGAGACCCAGATTGCGCTAATCTTTCAATCACCAAATGACGTTGTGACTTTTATTCCTTAGATTTCAATATTTTCAACATGCAAAAGGATCAACCTTGCTTATAAAATTAATATTGAACTACCCAAACTAAAATGCAGTTCGTCAGAACGCACATGTCTAGAGTCAAAACTGAAATCAACTCTAGGTAAAACATTGCGAATTTGTTGCGAAAGCAATATATTATTACACCAGCCTCGAGGATGAAATACAAATATTCGGATCGCTGTCAAATTAATGCTTTAAAAATTCTCAATCCCACCAAATCCCGTGACCCACATTGCAGAATTCAATTGTCTATTTCGTGTTTCTGGACGCGTCAACGACTACAATCATTAGCCCTGTAGGTGTAGTTCGTGCTTTATGCGGGAAGCGATGGTGATCCTCCCCTCTGGAATGTTAGATCCGGCACCAAGACATCTTGCTGAATTTTCCCTCCATTCATTTCCCCCAGCGCTCCAATCGGCACATGCTCTCAACTCGCGACAAGCCTCGTAACGTCTGTGATGGTGAAGAGCATAGAAATGTTAGGGCGTGTGTGCATGTAAGGGGTAAGGATAGGTCAAGAAAGGTGAAGGAAAGATCGCGCGCGGTCCGTGTCGCATTGGCTAAGGTACTGGCCCGTCAGTCACATGATGTTAATCAGAGAAACTACGGGAAACTACCGATCGCTAGATTTCTCTTCCGTGCAGCGGCTTAGTTCCACCCGCCTTTGTAGCGAGTGTCGGAAATCCGCCGCTGCCCGACAGAACTCGAACCTTAGCACCCCTCGATCACAGACGCTGCAGGGGAGAGAGTTGTTCTCCTCAGCAATCTCAGCCGGTCTAGGTTGGTAGGGAAATTCGTAAATATTACTCCGTATCCCGAAACATGATTTGGTTCAAAAGAGAGAATTAGGTTAACGGCCCTCGTAATCCAGCTGTGGACGTGATGGCTGTGGGCCGCAATTGGGCTTTCACTGATTACTTTCACAGCAGTAGGGGTTCCGCGGACGCGGCTGTGGCCGGAGGGAGAGGGGCCGGGGCCGGGAGCGAGCTATTGAATCTGCAGGATGTGCCCGTGGCACGGAAAGCGCGCGGGGCGGCTGCAGGGGCGGGTTGAGGCTCGATGGAGCATGAGAGGGCAAGAGAGCGGGACGAGGGAGGGCGGGACGAGGGAGGGCGGGACGAGGGTTAGGAGAGAGAGCGAGCGGGGCGGTCTGGGCGGAATGGCAGGGTGCGGAGCGAAGGGGCGAGGAAGGAACAAAGCCGACTCGTCGACGCGGAGAGAGGATCGGGCGCTTCCCTGTGTGCGGGGCGGGCGAGGGCGGGCTCCGCGCAGTGGGCACAAACATTTTTGATTAGTGACGCCTAGGGAACGGAGTTTATTGAAATAAACATTAATTAACATAAGTTTATTGCAACAGAAGTAATAGTACATTAGTCATCATCACAGAGAAGAGTCTGAATTCAAATAGTTCATTCGCTGAATATACTATGTTGTTTATGAGGAGCCTGTGCGTGTGCGTGTGCGTGTGTGTGTGTGTGTGCGCGCGCGTGTGTGCGCGCGCGTGTGTGTGTGCGCGCGCGTGTGTGTGCGCGCGCGTGTGTGTGCGCGCGCGTGTGTGTGCGCGCGTGTGTGCGTGTGTGTGTGTGTGCGTGTGTGTGTGTGTGCGTGTGTGTGCGTGTGTGTGCGTGAGTGTGTGCGTGTGTGTGCGTGTGCGTGTGCGTAAAACATGGCCATGTACGTGGTTAATATTTCTTAAAACTTTGTTCCCCATATCATATATGCATATTATATGCATATGCAATATATGCATATTATATCAAGCTCTGCCAGTAACAACAAATTGTGTTCCCGATATGACAAGTGAGAGGAGAACTAAATCAGCTAAACAGCTGCGCGAGACCGCAAAACAGTCATCAAATATCTTGTTTCATGAAAAAATTTCAGTAATCTTTACAAAAGAAATGGTACTGCGCCTGGTTCTTCTACTTCACGCTGTGCACTTCAAGATGTTTTTAACGCCAATACTGTTACTGCTTAGCATTTGAATTTAAATATGTGTTTTACACGAGGGAAAATCCAGTTTGTTTTGGTATTGATTGCTTGAGCTTCAATGTTCGTGCAACATTTTTCTACTGAAGTCGGGCAATGGCAGACAAAACGATGTTACACTGGACTTTATCTTATACTATATTATCTACATGTCTTTAAATTATAAGCTTTCCCAAGTATCTTAAGACATGCTGATTCTACGAGCATCCAGTGACTGTGATGCTTCATCGTTTTCCGTAAATGAAAATTGGAATTGACAAAGGCATTGAAAAGAAGATTTTGCTAAAAGCGGTAGGATTTCCACAAATCCAATGCAATTGTTTATGCACAAGTGCATAGCAGCTCTCTATTCTGAGGATGAAACAAAGGAATTAAAAACTTTACGTAATGAAATCTCCAGAAATTTTCTAACAATGAATTTATTGAACTTCGCCGCTTCGTTTCCTG